GTTGAAGAGATTCAGCGAGGGTTCTCTTACAACAACAACAATAATAATGAAAAAAAAAACAACAGCGATGGATAATAGAAAAAATGCAATATTTTCGCGGCAAAACGAAAAGGAAAAAAATGAGAAGAAAACACACTGTCGCGAGTTAAGAAATAGGCGAATAAGAAAATTAAATAGGAATTTATATTATTGAAAATTGAAATAATAAATGAAATATCTCTTCACTTTATTTATTAAAATCTTAGAAAAATATGGAGAATTATGGGAATATTTAATATTGGATTTGAAATTATTCGAAATTATACTGAAAAAATTAATAATTTTCGAAATCTAAATAGAAACACTGTGCGTTAGATAGAAAAGAAAAAATCAAATTGCCGACGGCAAAACACACTTTGACTAACGCACTCAAGTTTAATGTGTTTCTTTTTTTTATGCACTATTGACGTTCACTGGATAATATAAGCACAAACTTACCTTGAATTTAGATGAAAAATGGAAATTAAAACAGCAATAAAATCCGGTTCGAACAGGACCAAATGAAAATGCCAAAGTTGTGGGTATTTTCCTAGAAAATGCTGGATTGTTATTCTGCTGTTTGTGGACAGAAAAATATTCCTTGGAGTAGAAATATTTTCCTCTCGGTTTGGGATTGAAAAAATGGAAGAAAAAGAAATAAAACAATGGAATAAGTTTGATGTTGGGGAAAAGAACAATTATGGTTCTTTATTTGGAATTCAAATTGCAAAATTTGAACGGCGCTTACCAATAACAACAGTTCTGATTGTAGGTTGGTTTACAAGTGATTTTATTGAGGAAAAAGGAAAATTGAAAAGCCACAGATAGGACACAAACGGACATTTTGAGTAATTGAGCGACACAAACAAAAGCAAAGCTTGTGGATCGACTCGAAATTTAGGAGATAGAATTAGGGTTGCCAGATCGAAGAATTTCGTATTTACAGAGACAAAGTTTAACCCTAAACGCTCTTTAAGAATACATATTTCTTAAAAAGCTACGGTTCAGTCTTGAACTCTCTTTAAGAACTATTTCCTCAAAAGCGATGGAAGTAACATACTTGTCAAAAATATTCTGTACGTATTAAAACCTAATACCCCTTCAAAACATAATCCTGACACTATACTTTAAGAGACGCTTTTTAGCTTTAAATAACCTTCAAAAAATTGCTATAAAAACACTTCTGTAAGCTTTCCGCAGTTTAGTCCTGGAAATACCTAAAAAAACATCCCTAAAAATACGTGCTTTAAATTGATATGTCTTCAAAAAATAGTCTTCTCTTCCAAAATAGCCTTGGAAGTCAGCGAATCTTCAAAGAAGTATTTTAGAACAATATCATATAATTCCTCGTTTTTTAAATATTTCTTTAAAGATTTAGTCTTCTAAAAATTATTCCTTAAATTTCAAGGCCATATCTCAATTCTCATTGTACCTTCCAAGACACAGGCCCCTCCGAAATTTGTCATGTCCCTTGGCTTTGTCTTTTAAGTCAATACTGTCAGTATTTTTTTAACAAATTTCTTCTACTTCAAAATTCCAAAAACCAACTAATTTTTTTTGGGAATTAAGTTTCGCCTAGATCTATCTTCCCTTTTCGGTATCATCATTGATTATGGCAAATAATGATTCAGAGCAAACAAATATCTCACCACCAGTAACTAATTCGCAAGAAGCAGAACAGCAACAACCATCATCCTCAAAGAATTTAAAAGAAAAATTGCAAAAGATTTTAAAATCATCTGCGGACTCCTCTTGTTCCAGTTCAATTGGAAAAGAAAAAAGCAAGCGAGTGAATTTGAAGATTAAATATTTTCTCAATTCCAATCGAAAATTAGATCCCTCTTTGGCTGTGAAGGCGGCAAAAATTCTATCTACTCCTCCCAAGGGTCAGAGGCCCAGCGATAATATTGAAGTGGTGACCGTTAAAAGACCAAACAGAAATTCAAACGGAAATAATATTTCAAACTTGATCCACAAAAATTCCAGTCCAAGGAGTAATCAAATTGAAAATACTGCAACAGAAACTATTGCGAATGCCGCCGATGATCATCAGCCATCATCTGATCCACAAAATTCAAACAAATCGAAATCAATTTTCAAAAGGAAATATAACTTTTTTACAAAACCTCACACGGGAGTGATAACAAGTAATAACAACATATCTGGTGACGAAGTAACAGAAGCCACAAATTCTGCTACTGCCGCCAGTACATCTTTAAAACGACTCCCCCTTGATTTGGAAAACAAAGCCATAAAACCCATAAACGTGCCAAAGCATTTGTTACGAGAATTTACAACTAATTTCAATATCTATAACCAACAGGTCGAAGATAATAGTTTGATAACATCACCCGTTTTACAAACTCAACCCCGTGTACATTTGCGTAGTGTTGCTTTTGACAGCATGGTTGGCAAAAAGAAATCAAATAAAAGCAATGATGCAACGAAAAAGGTTAAGAAATCGAAAGATAAGGAATCTAGGGAAACAAATGTCGAACAAGAAAAGGATTCTAAAACCGCTTCATCTTTAGCAAAGGGGGCAATTGCAAATTACTCCCTTCAAAAAGGGAGTTTGGAAAATGAAAACGAACAACCTTCATCTTCCCGAAAAAGGGTAATTGGTATTTAGATTATTATTTCGTTTCAAGCTCCTCCTTAATCATAAAATGGATATCCTATTAAGGATAGCATTTCGTTTGTGATTCCCAAAAAAATGTCGGAAATAGCATCAAATTTTAGAATAATTTTAGATTTGTTCGAATTGGCACGAATTATGTTTTTCAAACGGCCAATGAAACCCTCATACGCTGCCCGAATGCTGCTCTGCGGTATTTTGGCCCATTCCTTGCGGAGTGCTCGCTTGAGGTGATCGACACTTTGGTATTTTTGTGCCAACCTTGCGTTTCCAAAATACTCCAGATACAATAGTCCAACGGATTGGTATCCGGAGATTTTGGTGGCCATGAAGAATGAAGCGAGGAACTTCATTTTGTAACCATTATTGGGTGGCGCGTGCTGAGTGCGATGGTGCTGAGCCCTGGAATGCGGCAAAAATGGAGCGTGCCCAATGCTTTAATACACCCTCCAGAATATTTTCTCGATAATAATCGGTATTTATTCTGATGCCACGGTCGATTAATACGAGCGGAAAGCGACCATCGGCTGTTATTGCGGCCCACACCATCACCATGGCCGGTCCTAGAGTTATGGTGGCCAACCGAAGGTGCATATTTTCAGCAGACCTCTTTGGCAAGTAAACACTATCATTTTGTTGGTTTATAAACTGCTGGACAACGAATGTTTTCTCATCGGAGAAAACCAAACTCGGCAGTTCACCACTGTCTGCTAAGCGAAGCAACTCTTTAGCTCTTTTGAGTCTCTTTTCTTTCTTTTGCCGTATAAGTTCTGGCACTTTTTGGAATTTCAACGGCTTTAGTCCGAGCTTATTTTTCAATATTTGCCAAATGAAATATTGCGATATGTTCAGATCACGAGTCATTTTTCGGCCACTGCAACGCGGGTTTAAATCAAGTCACTCCATTTCTGTCGATGTTGCTGTTTTCTTCCGTCCACTTCCTTGACGTTTGGCTACGCTACCAGTATCACGGTAACGAGCGTTGGTACAAGACACAAAATATTTATTCAAATATAAAAAATCACACTATCACGCTTGAATTCCATCAGGAATAACTTTTTTTTTGAAAATTCTCACCGAAATGATTTTGTACGCATGTAAACAATATAATGAGCTGTCACTGGAATAATTTTAACAGCTGTCGGACGAGTGGCTTAGGAATGACAGCAGTCTGAAGTTGGTTGCAGTTATTTCCTTCTCACCCTGTTCATATTATTCCTATAACCATTTTTTAAACATTTTATCTTCTCAGATGTTTTCAAAGCTTTTGTTTTTCAAATTTTGAATAAACTTTGTTCTGCTCATTGTTATTCCAATATCTTTGTCGCTTTCAAACAAAAAATATATTTTTTTAATTGATTAACAAATCAAAATTAGCTTCTGTTTGATTTCTTCTTTTCGTTTTTTTGCCTTTATTTCTTTTCGAAAATCGTGCGTTTGTTTTTATTCATACTACAGCTTCTGCTCTGATGCCAATTTAATTTACATTTAAAAAAATATGTACATTCTGCCTTTCTTTCAATTTTGTTGGCACCGCCTGAAAAAAGCAACCATGTTGTCTGTCGTCCATTTGTTTTGTAAATAACTCGTGACTTGTGATGATTTTTGTTCTTGTCCCTCAATGTTGAAAAGTGGTTCTTCGCCGTTTTTTTTCTTTGTTTGGTGGCGACGACGACGACGACGACGACGATGATGATGATGAAAGAATTTCTTTAAAACAGTTTGTGTATTTCGTTTCAATGGATTCTTCTAATGGTCAAAAAAGGGCAGCATGTGGACAAGACAGCAGCGGGAGAAGGGTTGATGAGGTATAGCTTGTCATATTTTTTGTTGATAGTATTTATTACTATTTAATTGCCCAGTGATTCATTCATTATAGAAGCGTTGGACAATTTTTCAATGAAATCGAAAAGGAATTTAAGGTTAATTTTTTTACAATATTGTTGCATGAATTGCATCTTATAGATTCGAAAATGAAGCGAAGGAAAGATTTTCTTTCAATACCAATCAATGGCAACTGAATTTATTTATTAATTTAATCTTCCATTTATAATACAAAACCAATATGGCCACAAATGTATAAACCTTGGATATTTATAAGGAAAAATATTAATTGATATAATATGAATAGTATTAAAAATTGAACCATATATTAATCTATTATTTCTGGTTTGTTTTATATAAAGGTAATACCAATACAAATCAGATTTTCATTGCCTTGCAATTTATGACTTTTAGAAAACCCAGAACAGATGCTTTTATCCCTAGAAGGGATATATTCCTATAATCTTCCATTTTCTTGTATATACAATTTTTATCAAAAATTTTATTTTCTTTTTTGTTGCAGAAAATAAATGAAGAAAATTCAGCCAAAACTAGCAGCGAAACAGCCGCATCCGCCGGTCCATCAACTTCCACCGAACCAGCCGAAGAAGATAAAGACAAGGAAGATGACAAAGATTCTAAAAAGAAAAAGAACCGTTGCTCCGAATGTCGCAAGAAAGTGGGCTTGACAGGTACGTATTACCAGTATTGTAGAGATCCGGATATAAGAATTCAACAACTATTGGATATGAAAAATTAAATATGAAGAAAGACGAAGAGACATTTCTAAGGAATATAAATAGATAAAAGGAAGAAGGTTTAATAGCATCATGGAAAAATTCTTTCTTTTTTAATATTTTTTTTTTAATAAAATCAAGAAGCAGTTAAAGAAAGTATCCCCAGCTTCTGAAAATGACCACATATCGTCTCTATATAGAACTCATGGTGGAGAATATCTATAAGAATTTGTAGCTGCTGTTTTCTAATAACAAAAACTTGGAAATGCCGATTTTTTTCTATCCTTAAAAATTGCAGAAGAGAACACTATATAGAGATAATATATTCCAAGAAAGAAGAGGCTATATGTAGGCCAGAGCAATTCTCTATTCCTACAATAGAACTGGCAGAACTCCTCCATAGCCATTTAAGGCATTTTAGAAAATTTAGCCAAGGTCAAAGGGAACTATCAAGCCGACATAGGAAGGAAATTGGAAAACTTAATGTCTTAAAAACAACTCTTGAATAGGATCAAAATTTCCCTTAAAGGTGCCATATTTGATATCACATATACAGGGTGAGATGAAAAACTGCAACCAATTTCAGACTGTTGTCATTTCTGAGCCACTCGTCCGACAGCTGTTAAAATTATTCCAGTGACAGCTCATTATATTGTTTGCAAGAGTACAAAAGCATTTTGGTGAGAATTTTCCGAAAAAAAAAAAAAAATTGAAGCGTGAAAAGTAAAGAAGCGTCTTGATAGAAACCTGCTTCGCAGTGGCCGAAAAATGGCTCGTGGGCTGAACATATCGCAATATTCCATTCGGCAAATATTGAAAAATGAGCTCGAGGTAAAGCCATTAAATTTCTAAAAGTGCAAGAACTTACATCGCAACAGAAAGAATAAAGACTGAAAATATCTAAAGAGTTACTTCGCTTGGCCGAAAGTGGTGAACTGCCGAATTTGGGAGTTTCTCCGATGAGAACTTTGTCGCATTTTTTTTATCTCAGCCTACATACACTCCCCGATAAACTTTCAACGTCGCTTCAAATTTTTGACAAAAAAACCCCATTGGTGGTAACCACTGATTTTATGTTTGTTTGAGGTTCTGACCATACCTTTTAGCTGAAATGCCACCAGTTCAATATTTAGAAATCTTAAGAGGTGGAACACACAAAATTTTCATTTTTTTTATATGGCCCCCATTTAACGCCATCCCCCAATCAATGATAGTTTGAATGTCCTGTTACGAAAAATAATTTTTCTTCGTCCTTTTAATGACTTAATATCGCCTTCACTGTTGCTAATTTTTTATATCCACATTAATTTAATGTTTTTTTATATAATTTTTTTTTTAATAATTCCAATTAATATTAATTGTTTCCCCCCTTTTTTCAACAGGTTTCCTTTGCCGATGCGGTGGTCTTTACTGTGCTGTCCATCGATACAGCGATAAGCACAACTGCACATTTGATTATCGGGAACACGGAGCCCAAGAGATCAGACGCAATAATCCGGTAGTCGTTGGCGAGAAAATACAAAAAATTTGAACTTTTGTGCCATCATCTTTAAACCACTTTATAATAATAATATAATTCTTATACATACATCTATATATAAATATAAAAAAGAAGGAAGGAAAAACAAAAACAACAGAAAACACAAAAACTTATAAATATTAAATATACATATAATAAAAATATATTAAATAATACTGAAAGCAAAAAACGGAGAAAAATACAAAAACAACAACAAACACTAAAAGAAGAAACAGAAACAACTAATTTAAAGATAAAAAAAAGAAAAAAATTAAAAAAAAAACTGGAAAATTATACATGAAAAAATACCCCCTGCAATAGCTCTCCTACTCCACCACACAACAAGCCAGCAAACAACCATAGCCACCACCACAACCATTACTTCTCTATACACACACAAGCAGACGACACACACACATAATTTTTTATATTTAATAATTAAAATTGATTGAAGTTTCTTATTTTGTTTTATTTAAAAGAAAAAAAATCAAGAAGAAAATAACCAAAAAGAAAAATAATTAAGTTGTCTTCTCTAAATAAATTTTTTAATGGAATAATGTTTAGTTTTCATTTGCAATCCAAACAAAAACACATACAACACAAACGCCTAAAACCATTATTACACCTCCTACCAATCTACCTACCTACCTACATATATAAATATATTTGCAATTAGCGTTTTTTCTGTAGTAGAATTTTTTTGCTTTAGTTTTCATTATTACTATTATTATTTTTTTGTTTTTAATTATATATAAAAAAATAAACAATTTCAACAAATATCGAAAAGGGAAAACAACATATATATTTTTATTTTTTATTATTATAATTATTATGATTTTTTTCTTGTATAGAACCAAGTTAGAGTAATACATTACATAGAAACAAACAAACACACACACATTTTAAGGGATAAAATTAATAATAATAATATATGAGAAAAATTTAATATTTAAGACGTTAATATTTTTTTCTTTCTTATATATACATATAATTAGTAGGATATTCTATAAACAAAAGCAAATTCTCTATACTTGTTCTCTACACCATTTTCAGATGTTATACACTAAAACGATATTTCACAAATAAAATTTCGAAAAATTTTCCCAATAAACTGCTGCGGTTATTTTTTTTTAATTGAAATGTGAAGATCTATTTTTATTTCAACAAATTTCTTTGGTGATTTTGTAAAAGAAAGTAAAAAAAATAACGTAAATGATAAAAATTTCATTTTTTTTTAAAGTTGTGAAAATCTATAAATTTTGGGAAATTTTCTTAAAAATTTATAGAATTTCAATCTAAATAAATTGCTATGGAATTTTGGAAATTAGGGATTGCCAGTAAATATTTGAAATTGTGAAATTAAACAAAAAAAATGTTCTTCAATTTTAATAGATTTGCTGCAGTGCTTCTACCCAATATCAAGTAATTGTTGTTCAGTTGGCCATCTTTTGAGAATTGAAGTTTAATTTAAATGTTACACAACAAACTTTGCTGTAGAAGTTTCTTTGCCAGGATTTCCAAGTCCTCTCAAAGTGATGCCGAACTTTTGTCGGGAAATATGATGGAAATTAGATTTCGATACTCAAATATTTCAAAATAAATATATGCAAAACAAAATAAATCCTTTTTACTTCATCTATTTAATAAATCCCATATTGCTATTTTGTTTAATATCGAAATGGTTTCAAATATGGATTCTGGCTACCTTGTTATTTTGGAAATTTGAACAAACTTCGATTTTTAAGGTTTCAAGTGAATTTGTAATGAATTACTCAAATTTAAGTTCAAATTCATTCTTCAAATAAGTTGTCGTCCAAGCCAAGTAATTTTAATTTTAACGAGAAACCCTGTTTGGATTTCAATTGGATAACTCCAAATAAATCCTTTTAACTTCATCTACTTAAAAAAAAACCCACATTGCTATTTTGTTTAATATCGAAATGGTTTCAAATATGGATTCTGGCTACCACCTTTATTGCCAATTGTTATTTTCGAAATTTGAACAAACTTCGATTTTTAAGATTTCAAGTGTAGTTTGTAATGAATTACCAAGCCAAGTAATAATTTTTATCGAGAAAACCCTGTTTGTATTTCGAGTGGATAACAACTCCAAGTGTACCCAAACCGCTGCATATTCATTTTAAAACTCGAAATAAATATACGCCAAAATCCAATTTTTGATTCAAACTATTTTAAAATCCCTTTGGAAAAATTGTATAATCAAAAAAAATATTCTGGAAACATTCGTTCGAATTATTTAAATTCAACTTCAATATCTAAAACTTTCATAACTTTCAAATCAAGTCTTTGTTTTTTAACACGATAATTTACAATTTAGAAGTGAAATATATATTTTTTTGTATAACATTTGAAAATGGTGTAGTAGTTTAAAATTATTTAAAAACAAATCAAAACATATTGAAGAAGTAAAGTGCTGCTGCAGTTTTTTTTTAACATAGATTATTATTTTTTTTTTTTTTTTGTTCTTTTGAAAATTACTTTTCTTATTTAGAAAATTTAGTAAAAGAAAAACAACGGTAATTTTTGCTTTAAACAACAAAACTCGATATAAAAAGGAATTATTATTAAAAAATTATATAGGATTTAATTTTTATTCTTTTCTTGAAAAAATCAAAAAAAAAAAAAAAAAAAAAAAAAAACAACTCAATACACACCGACACCTACACTTACACGCGATTTCTTTTTAATATAGTTTTTAAATGTTTATATAATGAAAAGAAAAAGAAGGAAAAAAAAAAAACAAAAACAGAAAATGGAAATAATGCAAACCAAGCTCTTTTTAATGTAATTAATTATCATTATTATTAATTAATTAATATTAGTTTATAAAATATAAAAGATAAGAAAAAGGAGAAGAAAAACAAAAAAACCAATAAACAATTCTAAAAATGAAACCAACAAAACACTTTTGAAAAAACACCCTACTAAAAAAAAAAAGAAATTTTACACTAAGTTCAAAAAAACTTATTTAATACTACTACAACAACAACAAACAAGTGGGAAAAAGGAACAAACAAGTAAAACCTACTACTATTTACTAGACAAAAACCAACAACATATATAAAATCCAAGCAAACTTTATATAAATATAAACAAAAGGCAAACTAATGGACAAAAGTATTTTGGGGTTTGTAATGAAAACAAAAAATGAAAAACACAACTGCTTAACAAAAAGATACCCAAAATGCTTTTAATCTAAATTATATTTGAATAAAATATGGAAAAATTAAGAACTCTTTCAATGCTTATAAAACAAACAAAATGTTTAAAATCTAATGGGTAGATAAATCCAGCGGGAAACAAAACAATTAGCAAGGAATTTGTATCCATCTACCAACCAAACCAAGCCCCCATCTAAAAACACAGTAGAAGTAGAGATTATTATTGATTTTATTTTCGTTATTTCTTTATTATTTTTCTTTTGAAAATTTGTGTGAGTTTTGTTTATTATTAATTTTTTTCTCTTTCTCTCTCTCCCACTATCTCTCTGAGCAAGTCTAAAGTTAATATGGTTTTAATTATATACAAATAAACAATAAAATAATAATAATTAAAAAAACACAACAATATTGAAATTGAAACTTTAAAAAACAAATAAAATAATATATAAAAACAAACAAATTACCCTTGTCTTTTGAGTATTTCTTAACATTAGGTTTGAAATTGAATGTGTTTGCCCCCCATTCGCAATGAAAGCAACAAGTAATGAAGTGGTATGACAAGGGAATGCTGCTGTGAAAGGCCAAAGCTCTTCCCCTTTCTTTCTTATCGGCTTGTTATTGACAAGAAGCTGGGAATGTTTTTTTTTGTCATGGGTTTTAAATGTTTATTGGACGATGTTTTTCAGTTTTCTCATCTAAATATCTGGTAAAATTTCTATGCGGGTTATGTTTCCTGTTTGTTTGAACGCGATCAACTAACGAAATCATAATCAAGTTATATTTGTAGATTTACAGGGTGATATAAAAAAACTGCAACAAAGTCAAACACCATAATTTTTATACATTTTTTTTTAAATTTTATTGAATGAAAGCAAAAAATGCTTCAAATTATATTCCCTAATAAATTCACGAAAATAGCACTGACAAGACTTCAAAACATGACCCTTAAAAAACGAGATCATTGCTGCGATTAGTCCTTAAAAATATTCTTTGCAAAATAACTCTGACAAGCCTTCAAAATTTCTTTCTTTAATGATCCATGAATTTGGCTCTGAACCAAACCCTTAAAACCTACAAAATTTAAAAAACATTCTTTGCAATATAACTCTTACAGGCCTTTAAAATTGCTTTCTTTAAAGATCCATGAATTTGGCTCTGGACCAAGCCCTTAAAACCACAAAAATGTTCTCTATCTATTCGAAAACTTAATGGATTTATTTTCCAAACTAAAAAAAATCCAAGTGAATTGTTACGTAAATATTCCTTAAAAACTATAATAACCCTTCAAAAATACTTCCCTAAAATCCATAAATATATACTTTCAAAATCGTTGAATATATCTTTTCAAAAATATTTCTTAAATATCTAAGAAATTAGCGATAACAAAATTGTATAATCCCTAAAAATTCACAACTACAGGGTGAGATAAAAAAACTGCAAAAAGCTCAAACGCCATAATTTTTACATTTTTTTTAATTTTATTGAACGAAAGCAAAAATGTCGGAAAAAGCATCAAATTTTAAAATAAGTTTAGATTTGTTCGAATTGGTCACTTTTGGCACAAATTATGGCCTTCAACCGGTTAATGAAACCGTCACACGTTGCACGAATGTTGCTCTGCGGTATTTTGGCCCATTCCAGACGAAGCGCTTGGTTGAGGTGATCGACATTTTGCTATTTTTTAGTGCCAACCTTGCTTTCCAAAATACTCCAGACACAATAGTCCAACGGATTGGTATCCGGATATTTTGGGGGCCATTGGGGGCCTTATTTTGTAAACATTTTTGGATGGCGCGTGCTGAGTGCGATGGTGCTGAGTCCTGTTGGGATGTTCAAGGTCTGCGGCCAAAATGTTTGCATGCCTAATGCTTTAAAATATTTTCACGATATTCGGTATTTATTCTGATGCCACGGTCAATTAATACGAGCGGAGAGCAACCACACAATCACATGGCCGGCGCTTGGGTGGGTTCTGGTGGCCAACCGAAGGTGCACATTTTCAGCTGACCTCTTTGGCAAGTAAACACGATCATTTTGTTTGTTTACAAACTGCTGGACAACGATTGTTTTCTCATCGGAGAAAACCAAATTCGGCAGTTCACCACTTTCGGCAAAGCGAAGCAACTCTTTAGCTTTATTGAGTCTATTTTCTTTCTGTTGCGGTGTAAGTTCTTGCACTCTTTGGAATTTCAATGGCTCAATGGCCGAGCTCATTTCTCAATATTTGCCAAATTGCGATATGTTTAGCTCACGAGCCATTTTTCGGCCACTGTGACGCTGGTTTCGATCAAGTCGCTTGTTATTTTTCGAACCATTTTTGCTGATGTTGCTGTTTTCTTCCGTCCACTTCCTTGACGTCGGGCTACGCTACCAGTATCGGTAACGACCGATGGTACGAGACACAAAAGATGTATTCAAGACACAAAATATTTAATGAGCTATCACTGGAATAATTTTAACAGCTTTCGGACGAGTGGCTTAGAAATGGCAGCAGTCTGAAGTTGATTGCAGTTTTTTCATCTCACCCTGTAAGATTTTGTCGATTCGCGGCTGCAAACAAATCTACCCAAATGTTCATTGCCTAATAATAGGTTTCTTCCAAATCAATTTTTGACATGCCACCTGAAATAATTAGTTATTGAGGATCGAGAAATTAGTAATGAGTTATTTTAATGGGTTATTCGGCCAAACATGATGGAGAACATTGTTGGCAATCTGTACCTTACTCCTGCTGTTTTTCTACAAAGTATATATATATATATATATATATATGTGTATATATATATATATATATATATATATATATATATATATATATATATATATATATATACACATATATATATATATATATATATATATATATATATATATATATATATATATATATATATATATATATATATATATTTTTTTTTTTTTTTTTTTTTTTTTTTTTTTTGATCAACATAAAATTCTAAGGCGATTTAGCGATGTCCGTCTGGCTGTCTGTTGTAATCACGCTTCATTCAAAACGAATTAAGAAATTTTGCACATATCTGTGTTTTGTCTGTTGTTTTTGTCTGTCAACGGAATTGTCTGAAAATCCACACAAGGAGTTCCTTGTGAGTTTTTTATCCCCTGGAAAAGAATTATCTATATCGGTAAACGATATCGTACAGCCCCCATATAACGGTACCCCCGATATTCGGCATTTCGATGATTTTAGCCACATTTTTCAATGGCATTGACTTAAATTCTACACAAGGTGTTCTCTATATAAGTACTCGACCCTCCGGAAGGGAATTGTCTACATAAGTCCACGATATAGTATGTCCCCCATAGGACGGAACCTCCCGATATTCTGTATTTTGATGATTTTAGCCACATTTTTCGACGGAATTGTATGAAAATCCACACAAGGAGTTCCTTGTGAGTACTTTATCCCCTGGAAGAGAATTATCTATATTGATCCACGATATCGTATAGCCCCTATATAACGGTACCTCCCTTCATCCGGTATTTTGATGATGTTAGAAACATTATTCAGTGGAATTGTTTCAAATTTCATATTCGAAGTTGGTAATGGGTATTACAGTCTATGCAAAAAAAATTTCGTCTTCGTATATGCCTGTCAGTATTGACAGTACAATTCAAAGCAATTGGACGGCGTACGGCTTCTCCCTTGTTATTTGACGCAGTTATGAAATAAAAACAAAGCGGGCTCTCTTACCTTTGAGTTGAGCTATTAATGAAGTCGCAACCATCCAACCAGTATGCGAGGCGTTTCACCGTTACTATTTAGTGGCTAGAAGAAGACCAATTTTGGAAAGGTCCATTTATACGTACACAAATTGATGGAAACATTTTTCTTTTCAAGTCGGTTCTTTTAGTCAATTCTCTATGGAACTTTTAAGACATTTACGTTTTTTTCTGTTTATATAAAAGGATTACCACCAGAACATCTACCCTGGTTTATCTTCTATATCTTCCGACTACAGGAAGGTAACTTACTTCTAGTCCTATGGAGAGAGGGTATCAAAATAGTTATGGAATTTAATTCCATTTATGCTTGCTCAATTTACATCATATTTTTAATTTTCAGTTATTGTCTTATTTATTTAAAAACTAACAATGTAAATATATCTAAAACTGATTGTGTGTGGTGTATATACATGTATTAAATAAAAAAATAATTGCAATTATAAATACCAACACTAGTTTGTCTATAAATTTAATTTTAATATTTCTCAAGAAGTATTCGACTTCAAAACATATGTTTTTTTAGCTTCTAACTGTAGCACGCATTGTACTATAAAAATAAAAACATATATGGATTAAAACCTAAATTAATAAATTTTTGGAATATAAATAAATGTTACTTAGGGACCCACTTGAAATTCAATATTTAAAAATCTTTATAATATAATTGCATTGGTGAAGTTATATTTATCTTTAATTTTCATTTTACTACTTTTTGTTTTTATATAAAGTATGTTTAC